TCCCAGCTGATGTCAAGTCAGGTAACACCCTGCCCCCTTGTTACAACTCTCATACTGTAAAAAAAAATGTCATCAGTCTGTTTAGTGCCACGGTTTTTTGCACTTTTTGTGCGTTTTTTAAAAAAGGATTTTGCTGTTTAAAATGGCTCCCAGTATAGTAATGGAGTGCCTAGTTCCTAAACACAACACGGTCTTAGGGAGAAAGTCTGTGTTTGATAAGCTTCCTTCAGGCATGAGTTACAGTGCTGTGAACTGAGTTCAATGTTAATAAATCAGTAATTATACTAAATAAGGCAGGAGAAAGATGAGTCTTTCTACTTCCAGAACGCTGTACAGCCTTGGAAACCCTATGCAGGTGAATGAGAACCAACGCAATGACACATAACAACAGCATACTAAATAAGGTGTCTTTAAACAGAAACACACATAAAACAGACTGTGTATTAATCATTTGACCAAACAGTTATGACAGTAGGTTTGCAGGAACCTAAACCTGTATTTTATGGAGCCTTGGTAGCATAGTGGTTATGAGTCGGGCTGCTAACCTCATGGTCGACAGGTCAAAACTACCAGCCATTAGGTGGGAGAAAGATGAGGTTTTCTGCTCCCATAAAGATTTACAGCCTTGGAAACCCTATGCAGTCGCTATGAATCAGAAGTGACTCCATGGCACACCACTGACTGACTGAAGCGTGTATTTCCCTTAGAACAATGATTCAGTGTGGGTTCTCTCAGTGGGTGTTCACAGTGACCCTATAGGCCATAACTGCCTCAGAGAGTGAGAGTTCATGATAATCCCAAGAGGCCAGACTCTCTGTCAGAGGGATGTAGGATGTGATGAAACGTGTCCAGAGACAAAGCCTGCCTGACTTTTGGTGGGGCTTACAAAGTATGTAGTAATCTCTTCCCCTTGCCATCGAGCCTCAGAAAGTCTGCCACAGAAGAGAAGGCAAAGGGCTGGCGGCTAACCTTTGCTACCCAAGTTGCTGAATCTAATTGGGAATTTTTAAGACTTAACTTTCACAGTTTTCCAAAGTTGGCATTTGCCCACACTAGTCTCTGCAAGGAACTCTTAAGTAGGCGGAACCTTTGGCCTTCACTTGCCATTTTCTTCTCCCTCTCTGTGAGTGTCTTCTCCCTCCTCTGTTTAATTGAGATTTGAACATTTCAGAGCTTGGCATTGCCACTTTTAAGCTCTCCCAAGTGCACCAGAGAACACACTATGGCCAGTAATGTTGACCAGTGGGCACTGTCAGTCCTTCTACTCAAGGTGTAGTCCCCTCTCTGGGTAGTATGCCTTTCCTTTCTCTGGTCCCACATTCGTGTTTTTGATTGGAAACCCACACCCAGAGAGCCCTCTGGTTTTGCCTGAGGTTTTCTTCACTGCTCTGTTGAGGTGGTGGTTATGTGCCGTGGAGTCGGTTCCGACTCATAGCAACCCTGTACAGGGTTTCCGAGGCTGTAAATCTTTACGGGAGCAGAAAGCCTCATCTTTCTCCCACGGAACAGCTGGTAGTTTCGAACTGCTGACCTTGTGGTTTGCAACCCGATTCGTAACCACTACGCTACCAGAGCTCTGTGGGGTCTACTTATATCTGAGCTGGCATTCAGTGGAAGCACAGATAGACTTTCCTTCATTTCAGGAGGAAGAGGGACTGAGATCTATGTTGTTGGTTTCAAGCACCAGTGACCCTGTGGTGGGGTGGGGAATGACCCCTTCCTCCTGACTCCACTGTGGGAGCCTTCTGTAGGTGTTTGTGTCAGTGCAGCAGCCAACAGGTACTGATCGGGCAGAAGGCTTGTCACATTCCAAATGGACCTCCTTGCTGCTGTCAGAGCCCACCCTCAGGAGTTTGTTGGATGTGGGTGTAGCCGCCACTCAAGATGCCTACTTCCTGGCACACCCAGACTCAGTCAGCAGTCTTCAGCACTGACTATACGGGGGTGCAGACAGACCCAAATTCATTCCCAGGGAGGTCTGTCTTCTTGGTTTCAGAGGTTTGAGCTTATGGGGTACACAGAGAGGCAAGGAGAATGCTGACTTTGGGAGCAGACTCTACTGTAGTTTACAACAGCCTAGCTGGGGGAAGGGGTGTGATGATTTAGTCAGATCCTCATGGAGGTCTGGCCTTGTTGCTATCAGAGACTGTCCTGTATACCCATCCCTCACTTATCAACACAGTTAGGTTCCAAAGACCCAGTCATTATGCGAAATCAGCATTATACACAAGTGATCAGCATTACACAAGACAGACCTCTACTCTGTCTTCTGTGCTGGTTTCCCCCACCTGCCTCAGTTACTCACTGCCCTTCAAGTGTTCCTGGCACTTCTCAGGATGCACATAACTTGGCTGAACCCCCTTCCCCACCAAACCGTTCCACTATTGTGGAGCCCATGGGAATCATGGGTGGTGGTGGCAGTTGAGTGTGTTGCCTGCCACCTGCCCTGGGCAGGGACCCTGCTTGTCCTTTGTCCATCCTGATCCCACAGTCCCCACTTAGTCCCCTTCCTTCTCTCCCACTTCCCACCTTCCCCACCAGTCTCCCCAGCCAGCATATGCTCCTGGTTCCCATGCCTACCCACAGCCTCACCTTGTCCAGTTATTGCCCTGTACCCTCTGCCGCAGGATGACCAAGAGTCTCAGGGGAATGACAGAAGACACCCTGTGGCCAGTCAGCCACCACCTTTTGCTTGGTCCAGTCATCATTAGGGCCTCCAGTATATTGTTCAGGGTGGCCCACAGAAGGTGCCCCAGCCATGGGCCCTCATAGGGCCTCAACCCTTAGAAGTGCTACCTAAGAATTTTCCAAAGTTGGCATAGATGCTGACTATTGTACTGTCTAATTTGTAAGTGAGGAACTTTGTTGTTGTTGTTACATGCCGTGGAGTCGGTTCCGACTCATAGCGACCCTGTACAGGGTTTCCAAGGCTGTAAATCTTTACAGGAGCAGAAAGCCTCATCTTTTTCCCGCAGAGCAGGTGGTAGTTTCAAACTGCTGACCGTGAGATTCACAGCTCGATTCATAACCACTACGCTACAGAGCTCAGGTATAGAATATTCACTGTGGTGGAGCTCCCACTAAAGAGGGCTGTTTCTTGGCATATAGCAATCGCCATCAGCATTCCTGCCCAGGTCTGCCCTGCTGGTTTCAGATGCCTGAGCTCTGGGGAGCACAGGGAGACCAGCCGAGTATTTACTATGGGAACAGGCTTCATGTCCTAGACCTTCTGCAGCAATTCTCAGTAGGCTTGCACTCAGCAATGTCTGGGTGGGGAGCTGTTGGCACATTCCAAACGGACCTCAGGGGATGTCTGCCTTGTTGCTCTCAGACCCCCCTGGGGTATGTGGGCTGAGGGTATAGCCTCCATTCAAGATGTTTGCTTCTCAGCACACAACACACAAGAGCCTCAGGTAACATTCCTCAGTGCTGAGTATGTGTGTGTGGTGGGGGAGGGAGGACGGGGGTAGAAAGACCCAGCTGATCTTCAGTGAAGTCTGTCTTGTTGGTTTCAGAGGCCTGAATTATTGGGTGCACCCAGGGAGGCTGGTAGAGTGTTGATTATAAGAGCACAGACCTTCTCTAGCAATTTGTGACTGAGATGGGGAGGTGCTGGCACACTCCAAATGGACCCCCAAAAGATAGAAGCTCAGAGCCTTGTTTTTTGTACAGGCAGGGACTTTGGTGGCTGGGAGAGTAGGCTCTTCTCCTGGGCCCATACCCCGGGTTATAGGAGCCAGGGCTGTGCCTACCACGGTGCTTGTCTTCAGATTCTTTCTAGCTGCCTGTGTGTGGTTCCCTCCTGCTTTCCTCTGCTCCCCAATTCAGAATGCCTCAAGGAGCACTGTCTTCTCATTTTATTTCTTGCTGTATTTATGGGGAAGGGTTAGAACGATAGTTTGTCTACACCACCATCTTCCAAGAATTCTACAATGAGCATTTATCAAGGATTTGAATATGAGAAGATTAAGAAAAGCTCTTGGAAAATTGATGAAGCCCTTCAATAGTCTGCAAAAATGACTTTTTTGGTTGTCTTAGAAACATGAAACATGAAACAACAGGTGTCAGGGTAAGTTGGTCAGGAAACAGTTTTACCTTTGCAAGGTAAAGTCCCAGTCAAATGATTTCTAAATTCCCAGCCACCAAATTGCTGGTCCTTGTTTCAAATGGATTTACTTTAAATTTATTCACCATTCTCAACTGCCGTCTGTACCAGCTATTCTTAACTAGAATCTATTCTTATTTCATTGTGGCCCTAAAGGTGCTGTAGGATCAGCACTGGACTACAAGGTTTGCAGTTCACAAGGTTCAAACTCACCGTTCTAACCACAAGGTCAGTGGTCCAAACTCACCAGACACTCCTTGGAAACCCTATACAGGGTCACCATGAGTTGGAACCAACTCAATAGTACTTAACAATAGTGGTTTTGAGGACTTTATTGAACATGGTTTTAAAGTTCATATTGTTTATCAATTGCCTGAGTCAAATTGGTGGTGGTGGTGGTGGTTATGTGCCGTGGAGTTGGTTCCGACTCATAAAGACCCTGCGTAGGGTTTCTGAGGCTGTAAGTCTTTACGGGAACAGAAAGCTTCATCTTTTTCCTGTAGAACTGCTGGTAGTTTCGAACTGCTGACTGTGAGATTAGCAGCCTGACTCATAACCACTCCCACTACCAGAGGTCCTTCTGGTTCAGATTACTATATATAAATATGCAACAGTGTTGTCTAACTCTAAGAAAAACTTCACCCAGTTTATTATACCACACTTTACAAGAGATACCTTGACTTTTTTTGTGTGTCTATTGGCAAGACTGTAGCATAAAAAGGTCAGTCACCTCAAAGAGGTCCTGTTCAAGGTGAGAACCTGTGATAATTAAAGACAGCTTTTATCTGCCCATTGTTTTTAATGGACTTTACTTTTAAAAACAGCTTTAGGTTTGCAAAAATATGTGATAATTTTTAAATCACTTTTAACTGCTTGTTTTTACTTTTCTCTACAGACGTCGCCTCATCTCCCAGAGATCTTCCTTGGAGACACTGGAAGATATTGAAGAGAATGCCCCTCTCAGGAGGTAATTTTTAACTGTTGCATTTACCCATATGTAAACAAAGTGGTAACAAAAGCAAGGGTCTGTGTGTCCTGGGGTGGCATTGTGGGTTAATGCATCAGACTGCAAAGCTGTTTGAACTGCAAGGTCAGCGGTTCAAGCTCACCAGTTGCTCCTCGGAAACCCTATACAGGGTCACTGTGGGTTGGAACTGACTTGATGGCATTTAATAACAACAACATAGAATATACTCCTAGTGTGGAACCCCAACTCTGAAGAACATTAAGAATTGAAAACTATTCAGCCCCAATTTTTTATTGCTATTGCTACTGCCATAGTCCTGGTGTGGCGCTGTGGGTTAATGCGCTGCTGGGCTGCAAGGTCAGTTCGAACTACAAGGTCGGTGCTTCAAACCCACCAGCCACTTCTTGGAAACCCTATACAGAGTCGTTATGGGTCGAAACCAACTCCATGGCACTTAACAGCAACAACATCGGATCAAACTCCTAGCTCATAGCCACACCATGTATTATAAATAAAACTTGACACTGCCCGGGCCCTGCCCCCTGAACCACATCGGTTAGCCATAGGGTTTTAATAGGCTCATCCTCAGAAGTAGACTACCAGCCCCAATTTGGGTGTTTATTTGAGTGCTTTTCCCCCTGGGGTGGTTTCGTTTTTTGTGCTTTTTTGTTTTTTGTGAGATGCTACTACTTACTTGCAAAGCCGTTTGAACTGTAATGTCGGCGGTTCAAGTTCACCAGCTGCTCCTGGGAAATTGACTCAATGGCACTTAATAACAACAACTTACTGGAAGAAGAGTCACTCATTTTCTCAGCTCTCTTCCCCAAAACCGCACTGTAGTTCCTTGTCCTGGACTTCATTTTGGGCTACAACACCTCTAGTACTTATGAGCTGGTCATGACGTCACTTCACAGCTATCTGCTACAGACACTTGGCTAGAATCATTGTGGTAGTTGGCTGTGAGAGTGCACCTCGCTGGTTCTCCTTCAGGTTAGGAAAGGCAGGGCCCAACATCTTTCTGGTGGCAGCATTTAATGAGCTGTTGTGTCTGTGCCTCCATCTGACAGAAGTTCTTTTTCTGCCCTGGGTCTCTCCACCCTGACCCTGCGCTGCACCACCTCCCAGCCAGGCCCTCAGTGAGTGGGGGAGAAAATGCTCACACATAGGATCTCCTTAAATCCTCCCCAAAGTCCTGGGTCATGAGGGCTTCTCGTTGCAGAAGAGGCCTCGGGTGGGTTGCTGTGGCGCTCCTGTATGCGGGCAGGCAGCTGGTGAGGAGGGTCCTCCGGAGGGTTTGTGCACCCAATTCTCTTGTTTCCGCTCTTCTACAGCCCACATGCTGTGGCTGCCAGCAGGGACTAGGCTTGGCTCCTCCAATGAGCTTGAGAGGTACTAGTGTGAGGAGGGAAGTTTATCCAGAAGTGGTGTGCTCTGTCTGGAGCTGGTTGCTGTTGTCAAGTTGTTTTAACTCCTAGCGACCCTGCATAGGATTTCCGAGAAGTGGCTGGTGGGTTTGAACCACTGACCTTGCGGTTAGTAGTCCAGTGTTGATCTCACAGTGCCACACCGGGACTCCTGGTGCTTAATCCCAAGTTATAGGTGCTACCCACAGGGTCTTCTCATGGGAATGGAGAGCAGTGAACCCAGACCAGCCTCGGGTCTGATTGAAGGCATGGAAGGTGAGGGCCTGTGAATCTCATCCACTGGCATTATTCCAAAGAGAAAGACTGTGCCAAACAACCAAGTCCCACTGTTGGAGACTTACATAGTAAGCATATGCATCCTGTAATTGAGGCATTGGTGATTCAGTGTTCAAGTTCTCATCCATGCAGAAGACCCAAGTTCGATTCCCAGCCAATACTCCTCATGTGCAACCAGTACTCATCTGTCAGTGGAAGCTTGTGTTTCTCTGATGCTGCATAAGTTTCAGAGAGCTCCCAGACTAACGCAAGCTAGGAAAAAAGGTTTGGTGATCCAATTTCAAAAATCAGCCAATTGTCCAATCTCCAACCTGGCGTGGGACCGAGCAGTGATTAGTTCCTTTGTGTGTGGGGTCGCCATGAGTCAGGGGCTGACTCTAAGGCAGGTAACAGCAACATGTACCCCTGGGACCATCTTAGAAGGAATGGTACGTATCTACTTAATGAGTAGGGCTTGGGTACAAGTGTTCTATTTGTGTTCAGTTTTGGGAGAAGACTTTCATCCTGCTCTGCTAGCCTGTCGGCAGGAGTCATACAAAAAGCTACATTAAAAGTCTAATTAGGGAGCTGGCTTGAATCCAAAGTAACCAGTTAGCCTGGAAGAGAAACCTTCTCAGCCAACACTGTGTGGCTTTGGTATTAGAGCAGGTAAGGTCACGCTCTGACTAATTCTCTCCCTCATCCCTGCCACAAACAGGAAAATCAACCCATAAAATTCAAAAGTGCTTCGTGTTTCAAGAGGCACCTAGAAGCCAGGTATTTGAGCCGTGCAGGGACAGTGAGCCCAAGAAAACCGGGTGATTCATGGTGCAGACTGAAAATGTTATTCTTACCTCAGGCGTTCCAGAACAAGGCCTTTGCCCCTCAGAACGTGGGTATTGGGTTTTGAGGGAATTAAGGAGCAGCCCACGCAGGACCTGGGCTCTGAGTTCCTGGTCAGTGCCCTGTGGCCTCATTGGGCCCCTCCATCTCTGAATCGGCCCAGACAAGCCCTCTGGTCCTCTGTTTCCACAAGTGAGTGGAATAAGAAAGTCTTATTTGTCTTACTGATGAGTTCATCCAAGTAATTGTTATAACCTAAAAAACCCCTACTGCCGGCAAGTTGATTCCGACTTATCGTGATTCTATATAGGATAGAGTAGAATTGCTCTTTAGGGTTTCCGAGATTGTAAATCTTTACGGGTGCAAACAGTCTCATCTTTCTCCCCTGGAATGGCTGCTGACTTTGAATCGCTGACCTTGTAGTTAGCAGTCCAATGCTTAACTCACAACACCATCATGGCTTTGTAAGTCATACTTAAAGGATATCTTGTTTAAATGACTCTTCTTTAAATGCATTATTTTAGAAAATAAGAAGTTATAGCAGTTTTTGAAGATTTTACTTCCTCAGATAGCTTCTTTTGAATTAAAAAGAAAATATATTACAAGGGGTCTTTCAAGAAGGATATATCAGAGCAATATGAATTCTGCTAAATTTGAATCAAAAACAAACATCAAATGTATGGTGAAGTTTGGGTGGATGCTTTACACAAAGCTGACGTAGACAGTGCCTCCCCCCACCCCCAAATTAGCAGTTTACAGGTGGATAACTCATTTTTAAGAAGGAACATAATAATGTTGAAGATGAAGCCCACAGGGGCAGACTATCCACATCAGTTTGTAAGGAAACACTTAGTCTTGTTCATGACCAAATTGACAGCCAATGACTCACACCATAGCCAACACCATAGATGTCTCAACTAGTTAGCTTACATAATTCTGACTGAAAAATTAAAGTTGATCAAACTTTCTGTTCAAGCATACCAAAACCATTATGCTCAGATCAGCTCCAGACAACAGCAGAGTTTCCAAAGGAAATTTTAAAAGGGTGAGATCAAGATCCCAAAGCATTTCTTGGAAGAATTGTACCAGAAGAAGAAACATGGCTTTACCAGTACGAGTCTGAAGACAAAGCACAGTCAAAGCAATGACTGCCAAGAAGTGGAAGCGATCAAAGCGAAAGCAGCCTGGTTAAAAGTAGTGGTCATGGCAACAGTTTTTTTTGTTTGTTTGTTTTTTTGTTTTTTTGGATACTCAAGGTATTTTGTTTGTTGAATTTCTGGAGGGCCCAAGAATGATAACATTTGCTTTAATATTAGGAAACTATCGTGAGAAAGCTAACCAAAGCTTCAGCAGAAAAATACTCAGGAAAGCTTCACCAAGCCCTTCTCCACCATGACAGTGTTCCTGCTCATTCTGCTCAACAAACAAGGGCAATTCTGCAAGAGTTTCCATAGGAAATCATTAGGCATACACCTGATGGTATTGGATTTGGGCTCCTCTTCATGTCTTTTTGGGTCCTAATCTTAATATGGGGTCCTGGTGTGGCACGCTAGGATGAGCACTGGACTGCTAACTGCAAGGTTGGTGGTTTAAAACCCCTAGTCACTCCTTGGAAACCCCTATGATTAGGAACTGACTCAGATGCACTTAACAACAACCATCTTAATATATTAACAATTATGAAGATGGTACGGGACCCAGCAGTGTTTCATTCTGTTGTACATAGATAGGGAGGTTGTGAGTTGGAATCAGCTTGATGACACCTAACAACAACAATTTAAAAAATCTTTAAAGGGCACCCATTTTTCATCAGTTAATACTGTTAATAAGACTGTCTTGGCAGGATTAAATTTCCAGAACTTTCAGTTCTATACAGGTGGACTAAAAGACTGGTGTCATTGCTTACAAAAGTGAATTCACCTTGATTGAGCTCATGTTGAGAGCTAAAGTTTATATTTTCTTAAATTCCATTTTTTCCACAAACTCCCTTCCCCCCAAACTTTTTGAAGTCCCTTCTTAATCTACTAATAACTTACTTGATCCTAGGATATTAAATTAACCTAATGTAGAGGAAAGGCTATTAGTTTGGGAATCTTTGGCCTGACTTTTTTACTAACTAGTAGTTATGTGGCCTTGGAACGCTCACGTAGCCTCTCTGGCGCCTCAGATTTTCCATCTGTAAAATGGGAAGGCCAAGTTGTCAGATCTCTAGGGTCCTCTTCAACTCTGAGATTCTGCAAAATGAATGTACCCATAATGACACTGAAGTGTTTTGGGAACTATGTGGGTGGAAGGCTATTAGCCAAACTTGCTTTTAAACTTAGCGTATTGAACAAATGGCTCCAAGGCATCTATTAAAAACCTTTTGCATAATTAAGTGTATCCTGTAATCAGTGCTGAATCCACTTAATGTCAGTAGGTTTGCTTTTGGTTGGTAATCAGTGCTAACAAGGAAAAGCTAATCTTTCATTAAATTAG